GAGACCGGAAGCAGAGACTGATTGTGACCAAATATAGTCTCAGTGACCACAAACAGGGCGACTCAAACAAACATGGCTGCCCCATGAAGAACAACTCTGTGCTCACTGCTCATGAGGGGAAGACAGAGATGCGCGAGAGAGAGAGAGAGAGAGAGAGAGAGAGAGAGAGAGAGAGAGAAGAGAGAGAGAGAGAGAGAGAGAGTGAACTGGTGATATATACATAACAAATGAGGCACAAAAAAACAAACAGACAAGGTCAGGACAACAACTCCAAAATACAGTAAAAAATAAAATAAAACAAATAAAACAAATAAAGACAGCAAAATACTAAGACATCAATAGACACACATCATACTACGATCAGAAAACTACAAAACTATATGAAATACCAAAGAAAGGATACAAGAAGTGAAAGAAGCGATAGAGAGAAAGAAAGAAGGGGAGGGAGGGAAGGTGCTTAGTAAAGGTTGATTTTTAACAATATTGTGGTGTGAAAGTTTGTGTAATGATTATATTTTAGGGGTAATTGACTGCAGCTGGGTTTCAGTCTGAATCACCGTTGAGCTCATGTTCTGAAATCAACACCTGAAAGTAACATAACCTTCATGTTAAAAAGACAGACATTGTGTTCGTCCAATCAGCGACAATCCTTGTCCACCGCAGATACCTACCTTTTCCTTTAGTAGTTAATGTTGTGTTTTCTTATTTCTTGTTGTGTTTCAATGTTTGTTTTTAAGTCTAACAAGTTCAAGTTCATGTTAAAGATGCTTTATTGGCATGAATGGTAAGGACTGTATTGCCAAATCAAAAATTATTTAAACAATCAACAGTAATATAACATCTAAAACATTTAACAATTACATTATATCTTAATATCCATTTTTGATAAATACATACATACATATCCAACTTCTGCTTAACAAAACCTTATTAGGACCTTGTGTGTCTCTGTTGCTGTTACCTAGCTCTTCAGCTTCATACAGCACGCAGATGAGGAGAAAGTGGACCTCTGTTTCTACTTGTTCTCATTTACATTTTTTACAGATTCTTTCTTCCCTATGTTCCAATTTTTATGACGACCTGTTTCAATGTCTAATTTATGATTGCTGAGTATGCGTCTTTTTGGGGGGTTTCTAAAAACTCAAAAGATATTTCACTAATGAATGCTCTCTTTACCTGAACCTGGTTTTGTTTTCCTTGTCAGTATTTTAATGTGTGTCTTGGAGAGATGGTGGAGCTCTTTCTTTTTGAGTTGATAGCTTTCTTTGATATCTTTCAGGGGGTCAGTCTCTGGGCAGAGGCTGTTGCTCAGAAAGGCATGTGGTACGCTCTTTTGAACATGTGGACAGACAGAAGGAATTCCCCCAGCTCTGCTCTGCATCTCAGTTTTGGGTAGTTTCTGTTGACCTTGAGGATGTGCTTACAGAACAGCAGATGACTTTTTTTTCAATTGAGGTTGTGTCCGGAGATGTCTGATTCATTACAGAGCCCAACACTTCACATAATGATTGGTTGAATAATGTTATCAAATAACTTTAGCCAAATCTTAATTGAGAGATTGAGTTTATTCATAGATTTCCTTATGCTGCAGTAGGCTCTGTGTGCCTTATCTAATAATGCCTCATGTGGTTCCTCCTGTAGTGAATCAGTATTTTGATTTCTGAGATCTGGCCTTTTTCTGGAATATCATGACGTTTTTGTAGGTTGATGTCAAGTGTCCAGTTTTAACAGAAAGTTTCTAGCAGTGAGAGATTCTGCTGTAAGCCTTGTTCTGTTGGAGACAGCAGAACCAGATCATCTGCATACATGACAGATTTGTTTTCTTTGCCTTGAAGATCTAATCCATGGTTGAGGATTGCTCTAAAGTTGTTGCCAGTTTATTAATAAAGATATTGAAGAGAGTAGTGGACAAGTTGAATCCCTGACGTACCCCTCTTCCTTGTTTACAGAATTCTGTTCTTTGGTTTCCTATTTGTATACAGCATTCAGAGTTTTTGGATGTGATTAAGTCATATCATTTGCCTCCAATTCCACACTCAGACAATCACAGTGAAATAACAGTCCGACAATATAACTCTAACAGAGTGTCTGACTACTTCTTCAGTGTCTGCATTTGAAAAGATTCATATAATATTGTGTCATTGAGGGTTTAAACTAAAACTTTAAAGTACTGGGCAGGTATACGGACAGATGAAGAGACATGGAGGAGGACGTGGAGGACAGGTTGAGGAGCTCATCTGTTTTTTTCACAGCTATTGTTCTGCTGTTGAGTAATGTCTGTTGTTCAAATAAGGAACAACATTCATGAAGTAAGCACTCAAGTCCTCAACAGCAGATGGAGAGGGAATTCACACTCAAGAAAAACATGACTCATGCCTCACATTGGTGACGTGTTTTTCATGAACGGTGTTGTATCATTAAAGCAGTCGGGGTTAAGAAGTACGGTGGCCCTGAAGGTCAACTGTCTAAATATTTCACCTGCTGCAAATATATTTCACCTGCTATTTAGACAGTTGACCTTCATGGCCACCGCAAAGAAGTCAGCAGTTACTTTTTACTCTTGTCTATAGACAAGAGTAAAAACTATAAATATATTTAAGTAAAATCTGGCATGTTGTAAGATGTCAAACCGCTGATTTAGTGCAAAGCAGGGGTGTCCAAAGTGCGGCCTGAGGGGATTTTTTGCAGCCCGTGACTTTGAAAAAAGAATCAGAAGATTTTGGCCCGAGGCCTTGATTAAGATTGGCACATCATCTTATTTTTGTTTTTCATGTGAACAAGGGCTGAACAATATTCCTAAAATAGAAAATGTTCATGACAATGTGTGTAAAAAACAAAACCTGTGGCCCGCAAGCGATTCTAACACGACAATTTTGGCCCGCAAGAAAAAAAGTTTGGACACCACTGGTGTAAAGGGTTCTCATTATCAGGTGTAAAATGTGTTCATATCAAGGTATTACATGACTCTAAGGGCGCGGTCACACTGGCCATCTGTACCGTGCTGTACCCAAGCACGATTGCCCACGCGGCCGCCCGCACATCGGAGAACAACACAGAGAACATGTCAACTACTTTGTGTCTTATATTGTGTCATGTTAGTCACATACAGACATGAAACTCTGGATTTCTCCATAATGAAGGCTGTCAGCGTTGTTTACCCGCGTGCTTGTGCTCGTGCATGAAGTGTACCGTGCTGAAGCACACCTCTCTGAAGTGTGCCAAAGCCAAAGAAGTGTACCGTGCTGAAGCACACCTCTCTGAAGTGTGCCAAAGCCAAAGAAGTGTACCGTGCCTGAGCACGATATGGAGCGGTCACACTGGTCAAACGAACTGGACTTTAGGGTTGAAGCGTGCTTTGGCACGGTACAGATGGCCAGTGTGACCATGCTCTTAATGATTCTGTTACGTGCAATAAAACGACTGTGGTGTGTGTGTGGTTTGTTTCTTTGGTGAGAGATATGCAAGAGGTCGTACCCGACATGATGTGTGGGAGTCATTTCCACTGTAAACTCATTTCTATGTGTTGTTTTATGCAGCTTCAGTCTCAGGCTCAGACTATTGAACCTATAGCTTTCCAGTTATTTTTGTCCCTTTGATAAACATTTGATTTGTACTTTGATCCAACTTATCTGTCGTTGGTAAGGCTAAAACTGAAGAAATGACAAATGCTGGATAGTAATTTCTTCCCTTTTCTTCTGCTAGTGGGCAATTGTGTGAGTCTGGAGATGTTAATTAATGAATACCCCCATCCATGTCACACACAGTTTAAAAGTATTCACTGCCAATTTAAATGTGAAAACAGGCAAGATAAGTGAATGCACTTGGACTGTGGCACCCCTCTTTTAATGATGTTCACTGGAAGCTATCTGTATTTGAAGCTATATCCTCTATCAGTTATGAGCTTTAGTGGCCGCTGTGGCTCAATTCAGTCGGTCATTTTTCACTCTGGAAGGTTGGGGGTTCGATCCCCAGCTCCTGCAGCTACATGTCTGATGTGTCCCTGGGCAAGACACTTAACCCCAAGTTACTCCTGCTGCTCTGTCAGCGGTGTATGAATGTGTATGAATGGTGTTAGTTACTTCTGATGGTCTCTTTACATAGCAGCCTCTGCCATCAGTGTGTGAATGAGAAGTGATTGCTGTGTAAAAACGCTTTAAGTGGTCAGAAGACTACAGTGCTATACAAGCTCAAGTTCATTTACCATTTACCAGTAGCCTTGATAACGTTAATATGATGACAAGTGACAAGTTTTCCTCAGACATCAGGACAAAGAGGCCGTAAGAAGTTTGTCTGAGTTACTGAAGGTCACTCTGTTGGAGGAATCAGTTTGTAGTTGATGAGGAACAAATGGCTTCAAGATTTAAACCAGTCCATACTTTACTCACTCCTCTGAATTACATTCTGGGAGATTACTTACCAAACAATGAGCTACATCACTCTACAAAGCCGCTAAGTGGGGAGCCTTGAGCAGCTACTTCAGAAAGAGAGAGCTTCAGCCACATCACAGGGAGGAGAGTTACAACAGGTTGTTTGTTCAAACACCATTCAGACTCACAACATAATCTTCAGGACTCATGACAGATTCTTAACAATGCTCAATCAATATTTATGTATCAAATCATAGCTTTGAATAAGACTACTTTACATAAAGTGCTATCCTGTTGATGTTATTTGAAGAGACCTAATATAATCCCAGTTGGCAAAACAAAAACTTTTGTAAGATGATTATTTTTGTGAAGTTTGATTTTGCAGATATTATTCATTTCTCAAGTATATACTGCTATATAATTACATTGTATGTTTACTGTGGTTTGGTGACATGATCTATCACAGCGGATGGTGTTCAGTTGTACAAGGTTTAAAACAAACATTAAAGGTGTACCAGACATGGGCTGTACAGCAGAAGTTGCATTAAGTATTGAGTCTATCAAGCAAGCATTTGTCCTTGAAAAGATGTTTCAAAGATGACTATATATGCACCATCGAAAAGATATTCAAAACTGGCTCAAAAACAAGATTTTTCAATGTCCATTTAAAGATGTTGAATAAACATCTATATTTAACCAGGAAATGTGCGTCTGTCAAAAGACTCATCACACATTCATAGAATATCTTTTCTTTAAAAAAGCATCTCATATCTAGCGGCAAAAAGAATCAAACTAAAATGAACACAGGAGCGGACATGGTTTCCATCCTGACTACTTGGAAGTAGGTCTGTTGCTTTACACAACCTATGACACTTGCATAACACCATCACCCCTGTCAGATAGGTTATCAAATATCTACATCAGCACCCAGGGGTCTCTCTGTCAAGGTATTCAGAGTCCTCACTTTTTGATAATGCTAAAATGTAAAAATTATCCCCATAATAAAACAAAGAGCTTAACCAGATACATTGTTATAGACTGAGTTGTTTCAGACCTATAGGAGGAGGACAGGAAGAAAGAGTCAGGTTGTAAAGGAGGAGGACAGAAAAGGAGGAAACTCGCAGAAACAACATGTGCTGCTGGTGACGCAGAAGGAGGCAGGCGGGGCTAAGCTGTGTATAAGAGCTGATGCTGAGTCCTCTCAGCGGCTACTATCACCGGTTTCCTTGGATCTGCTGCTGTACTATCCTAACTACTGACACCACAATGAAGATAAAGATTCCAGTGCTGTTCAACGCTGTTCTTTGTGAGTAGGCTACACAGATTGTTTGTTTTTATGAAACCATTAACTTAGTCGCTCTTTTAAGTAAAATCTGGCAGCATGTTCAGTTTCAAATAGCTGATGTACTTAAAGTGTTCTCATCAGCATGTGCCAAATGTTGCACCCTTGAAATGAACCGGTCAGAACTCGTCCATCTTCACTTTTAGAAACTTTTATTAAAGAAAACTGCCCACAGCTTTACACCGCTTCGTTTTCAGGCTACACACTCCTCTGTGTCTGCTTCACTGCGCCTCTTTTAAAGGGCCAGTGTCGGAATCTTAACACAGAGAGCAGAGGAGAATTGTAAACGCTCGACCATGTAGAGACAGAAATGACATGCCGTCGGGTAAATAAGATTAATAACATGAGCAGGGCTCGACATTATAAGTGTCTCGCTGTCCCGGATGAATGAATGACAGAGTCCAGCTGACTGCACGTTCAGCTGACGGCTTCACTGCTCTCTCTCCCGCTCGCTGCTCTCCAGTTGTTCACTCGCACACACATGTTAGCGCAGGTTTTCTCTACTAATAAACACGTTTGGTAAAACTGTTTTAAAACCATCAGATCCCGACAAAGGCCGAGCTAAAATCAGAATTCAAAGGAAAGAAAATCACCGGAATATCTCGAGTTTAACTTGTGTCAACCTCCCGATTTATGAGTGTTAAAAGTTGTAACCTGATTGTGAGGATTTGTTTTACGATAGGCTACTTACTGGGTGTCTCTCAAAACCCGGATTTTACCGAGCGGAAACATGTCTCCATAACCTGCACAGTGGATAATGACATATTTAGACATGTGCGTCCCGCTTGTGATTGTGATGTGGTTGTGGAGATAACACTACGAGGAGACTACAATAGCGGAAACTTGAGTCGGTTGGATAACCTCTTTGAAACCACAAGTGGATACTGGGTTCGTGATTGAGTGCTATACAGTTCATCATTGGGCACAGGAGGCATTGAGGGATCACTGTGACGTAGTAGGCGCGTATGCTCGTTTCTCTCCTTTAGCATTTGAGGGACGCACTTGAATGTCTGCAGTGTGCCGTTTTCTGCTCATAGCCTCTGCCTGATTCAATCCCATATTATAATATCAGACTGTTATTATAGATATCATAATGTATTTTTTAGGTTACACAGAGGATTCATTGTTGTCATAGTGACTAGAAAGTTTAAGCATTGTAGGGAAATGCTTCAATCCTTTAAAAAAAGGGTACTGCCATGTTACCACGAACTCTCTGAAAACAGAAATATCTGTACTTATGGTCTAAAATGTAACTGTTAAACGTTTAAGACCAAGTGTGGGGGAAGTGGAGGAAAACACGTTATAGGCTAATTGTAAAGTTAGGCTGCATTCATTTACTGTTGTGAAAACAACAGGTTTGTAAAACCCTGGTGTAGGGTCTTTCTTTAAGGCAGTCTGCTTCAAAATTATTATTTATTATGACATTGCAAAATGTAGGCTACTCAATAAATAGTCCCATCTATAAAACACTCAGGATTTGGTAGCCTACTTTTGACAGGGCCCCAATAACTTGTTTTTGTCTTCCTAAATTGTGCTGTTTTGATGTCTCAGGGCAACTATAGGTATCCCCTATCATAAAACAAGGAGTAAGGTGTTTTACCTGCTCTTTGTTAAGGGTCTTGAGATAACATTTAATTTGATGCTATACAAGAATAAAGATTGACTGATTACAGATGATCTGATGTTGTAATCGTGGATTTTAGCAGAAGAAAATGTAACGCGTTTTAAAGAAATGATGTCAAACTTTTAAACCGAAGGATGTGACAGGTAGCCTTTATGAGTAACACATTTTTAAAAGGAAAAACACCAAAGTGAGATCCATTTCTTGTGTTACTTACCCCAGCATCTCTCTCTCTCTCTCTCTCTCTCTCTCTCTCTCTCTCAGTCTTTGTCTTAGCCGTCAAAGCGAGTGAGAAAAAGAACGTGAAAGCTGGAGAAAAAATCACTCTGCTGACCGGATTCACTGATCTACGTGGTGACTATTCTGTTTGGTTGTATTTGAGGAATGGCACCCAAAAAGACACACTCATCAAATGTGATGGAGAAGAAGTGGAGTGTGAGCTCTCTAAGATGTCTGAAGGAAAACTGGACAGAGAAAATGGCTCTTTGACATTTGGGCCGCTAAACGTGGCGGACAGCGGCGTTTACGGGATACAAACCATTGATGGAGACAACATCAATCATGAAAAAGACTATGAAGTCACTGTGTCTGGTGAGTGTTTTAACATGCCAAAATGTGTGTTCAGGTTTGTGTATGTGTGTGTGTGTGTGTGTGTGTTCTTCATGGGTGGAGGATGAATTCTTTATTATGTGTGACATAGGCCTACACTAAAAATATTAAAATATGAAGAGAAGAACAAATTGTTGTTGAGAGTTCACAACAATGTCATTTAAATTCACAAGCAAAAGACTCAAAAAAGACTTCAAAAAGACAACTGGAGAAGATCTTAAACACTTTGACACATGAACTACTGACAATTTAGCTGTTTATGATTTAGTTCAGACATATTAAGGTGATAGATGACTTTTAATGATTCTGTGAGCTGCCGGTTCAAAACACCTCCCTCCAAACTTTGGAGGTTAGATAAAAAGAACAGATCTGCAAGTTTAAACACTCACTTAGACTTTAAAGTATCTCTCCATCTTACCTGCTGCTGAGCCGTTTAAACTTCTGATGCTACAATCTGCTTCATGATTACTTTTTTGTTTAAAAGAACTTTATTTTTCATAATCTGTCGTTTTATCTAAATCAAATCTGACAGCTTGTCAGTCTTAAACACATTCTTTGTAAAGCAGGCTTTTCAGTAGTTGATGATTCAGTTAGCTGCTGTGAAACAGTTCACTGTTAAGTGTGGGATCTCCCTATGGGTGAGGCTGGGGCAGCCAGGAGAGGTAATTTATATATAATATCTTCGTTTGTCAGTTTACTTAGTAAAGAGAAGCGAGTAGGATACCATTCATCCATGCTTGTTTCTGAGTTTAAGTGAGACCGCAGCCATTCCCAAATTATGCGGGTATGGCAGGCCCAATTATAAGACCTCAAATTGGGAAAGGCTCCTTGTTCTCCAGGTAGTTGTAAAGTTTTCATCTTAATCCTGGGCTTTTTATCATGCCAAATAAATAATGTCTTTTCCAGGTCCGAAATGTCTCCCCTTAATATCCATAGCATTTGTAGAGGATAAACGCTTCTTTGATTTAAAAAGATGTAAAGATTAAGCTCAACCTCACATTGTCTGTAAACATAGTCTCTTCCTCAGGTCTGTTTCGCCTGTTCTTCATCACTACAGTCAATGCTGAGTTCAGCTTCATCATGTTATTGTAGTATTGATTGAAAGGGGCTTTCAATCTCAAACTGGCGGGGAAATCTACATTGTATCTTTAAACCACTATCTTTTTATCAAAATCTGTAAGCAGATTTTTCTGTGCAGTTAATTGCAATCCAAAGGATACTGGAAAAAAGACATTAAGCAGATTTATTAACGTCAAATTCATGCTTTGTCTTCTACAAGACCAGACAAGAGAGACAAAGAACCGTTACATGCTTGTTTTATTTCATGAGGTTTGGATTGAGTCTTTTTGTTCTAATCTCATAATATCAGGGGAAGCTCACACAGTATTAAACTTCTCACTCTGATTTTAAGATTTTAAAAAGTGATACAACTTGCAAACATGAGTCACCCAAAGGTTGAATTGCTTTGTTTGCAATAGACATGGACTGTTTAATTATCATATAGCGAGGTGCATGTGTGAACAGGCAACAGAGATTTCAGTGCAGCTTTCTCTGAATTTATTGAGACATTTTTCAGGAGCACAAAAGGCTGAACTGTTTTTACTACCGCTCACACTAACCATCTCCCTTTGTCTTTTTTAAAGATGATCCAAACCCAGTGACTGAAAAACTCCCAGAAAGCAGGAATGATCCCAACAACCAGAGGAGCCACATAGTTGTTGCTGTACCAACTGGCTTTGCACTGCTGATAGTTGTCGTCCTGATGGTCAAGATGAAGAAACAGAAAATAAAGAAAGGTCATTATTAACAGAGTTAGAACTACAGTTTGATCAGCTACTCCTCTGGGCCAGACTGTTAAAAAGATTCAATCTAGATAACAATTATCCAGATTAGGACATATTTTTTTGTAATCCAGCTAATCCAGCTCACTTTTATCCTGGTATTGCACTTTGACTAAACTTCTTAAATATTAACCAGAGAGTTTCACCTGGTGAACTCATTTCTTGTTATCTCTTCTTCACAGGAAATACTCAGGAAGTCCTTGACATTCCGCTTCAAGACATTCAACCTTAAGGAGAAAGAGATGAGAGAAGATCCAGGATGAATTTGACCAAAAAGATAAATCTGTCATCAAACTATTGCAGAGGAAACACACTGTAGCTACATTTCACACATGTTGTTTTGTGCCTTAAAGGAAATCATCAGGTTTAATCAGGATATCCTCTATAAGGATCCTGCTGTCTGCTCTCTCAGAAAGAAAAAGGGAAACTGAGTAAATCAGCAGCATATAAAGGATCGGTGTCACAGCTGGAAAGTAGTCCGGCACAATATGGCCTCGGCAAGCTCCAACCAAAGGGACTCAAAGATTCCAGAGTTGAATTTGTTTGTAAAATGGTGTGTGTGGTCACCTTTGTATCATTGACCCTGAAGTTGCTGTTGTGTCTCTTCTCCTGTCCTTTTGCTCCTTTTGCTCCTTTCCTGCGTGTCATTCCTTCACTCTCTCCCTGATTTCTGACTATCCACTGTTCTCTCAAATAGAAGTAAGGTGTAGGTATTTTTGTGTGAGTCACAGGCAGCACAAGATGATGAGCTTTCATCTCCGCTCTACTTCCTATCTAGAGCCGTGGCTCGACGGCTGAAGCAGGTGCAGCAAAGAGAAAGACTTTGGACCCTGAAGTGAAGTCTATATAAGGAGTGGTATGTGGGGAGTGAAATTAGCTTCATTATAATCTTCGTGTTACAACTTAAATTATCCCAAAATACATTTGTGATATACTGGCACACTTTTTGCACATTTGTAAAGACCGAGAAATGACTCAGGGACGTGAAATGACTCAGGGACGTGAAATGACTCAGGGATGTGAAATGACTCAGGGACGTGAAATGACTCAGGGATGTGATGTTCTAGTTTGAAGTTTGTTTGTCCAAGTGAAGATTGGACGTTGTGTACTTCACCCTGCTGTTGTCAGTAAAACTGTGAGAATCTTTCACATTAAACAATATCTTCTTTGTAATACCAATGAATGTGATCTCTACACCACTGTTGCTATGAGTGATTGTATTTATGTAGGATGACTGTAAAGGATTTTTAGTCATCTCAATTGATTGCACTGATGTTTTTCTTAATGTATTATTTATGTTTAGCTAAGCGCTCCTCATTCAGTTATGGGAGATACAGAAATAAAAATGTGTTGAAAACATCTTTGGTGTGTGTGTTTAATGAATTCTGTCCTGTTAGCTTGTGGCTGTTTGATCCACATTAGAGTTTAATTGACTTTTTTTTTTACAACCAAACAAATGAATGTCAAAGATTTCCATCCTCCATGACTTCCATCACTTTCCATGTGAGTATAAAACCTAGAGAGGACACATTATTCAACACAGTTTAAGTTTCTGATATCTGTTTTTTTTTCTGACAAATAAATTTTACTCCCTACATTTTAACGCAATTATCTTAACTCCACATGATATTTTAAACAAAGGCTTGTCACTTTAGCTTTAATGCATCAGAGGGGAAAACAAAGTAAAACAATATAAAACACAAAAGAAGGTGAACGGAGTAAATTATAAAACACTGTAACACCTTGTCTCTCCAAAACGTAGGGATGTTATGTAAGATGACTGCTGTGACTTTTAAATGCCCGTAATCTATATGTAATTGCTGCTCCAACATTAAGGACTTTTTTGATGCATAAATATTACGATTTTTATAATCAAAACTCTACACGTGGATTAGCTCTTCACATATCCATGCAAATGCTTTTATACTGGACGAACCAAGTTCATGAGAAAATAGATTTAAGAACAATTTGTTTTGTTGAACTTAGCCTTGATCTATACAACCTTCCCTGTCCCTAGTCCCTAGTCCCTGTCCCACCCAGCTCTGTGCTGGTAACAAAGAGGGAGACCACAAACAGATAAAGCAGTTAAAATTATTTTTATTTAACTGAAATAATGAGATATATAAAAAACAAATGTGAAATGTAAGTTTGAGGTATCAGTGTTGTCTGAAATGTGTGGTAAGTGAAAATGTGGTTTGATGTGAAGTGCAGCAGATCAAACAAAGGAAAAGGTTGAGGTTGTTGTAGCAGGGCTAGCTAAGAGAGAATGAGGATCTCAATCAGGCAGGCCTAAATGCCTTTCAGAAGGCCTTATTCAGCTGAGTAGGTATCAGCTGAAGACCCCTCCAGCTCCACATACCAATTCGAAGCACCTGGAAAAAGCCTTGAAAGACTTAGGGCGCTCTCATACTTGGTGTGCAGATTTTGTTTTTTCTTTCCTTACCTCTAAGGATATCTAAGGATAGCTTATTCCTCAGCCAACTGTTTTTATAATGTTAATGAGTATGAGTTTTGGAGTTTCTGAATGTGAATCCTGAATACATTTTCAATAAATAAAGTTCCTTAAAGTCATTTCAAATTGTATTTTGACATTTTTTTCATCCAACCTCCAAATTATAGTTAATTTTTTTTATATTAAATCTTTCACCTACAAGAACACTATCAGACATGATCCCCGAAAGTAACACATTTGCTTCTGCAAGTCTACAATTTCAACCTTTCTCTTGCTTTTTATCGTTTTCTTCTCATGCCAATTTGAGGATGATGTGGGTGTAATGTTGAATGAAAACTGCTTACACAGTCACTTCAGATGGAGTGCCAAGTGCAAACCCATGACAAGTAACACTTCTCTCTGTGGTTTCAGGGAGAGATTCATCTCATTCATATCCTCCCATTGTTTGTTTATCTGTCAAAATTTGGTGCTGAGTTTTACAACCACATCAGACTAGACCTTTAAGGTGACATACAGATTGTTTTCATGTGAAAAGCTGCAGTAATTGAATTCTACATGTGCTTAATTCTCATGACCATAAACCCCTCTGATACTGACCCAGGCCTCTTTTCTTTAAGAGGCTTGGATTTTAAGTCAAATAGAACAAACAGGAAGAAGACAAAGGCACAGTGTGTTCAATAATCATACACCTGGCTCTCTAATCACCTTAAACTGAGGCCTTGTTTTTTATTTCATTTAAAATAGGAACAGTGCACATGAATGAACAAAAACCTGTAAATATGCCATATTGTAACCTTAACCTCATTTCCATCTGTAGTCCCTTGGCAGGCTGGTGGCAAACTCAAATACAAATGTGCATAAGCACAATGACAAGCAAAAACCAAACAATAAGTATTTATATTATATATCATTTATATTTAGACAGAAATGACTTAAAGCTACAAAAAATACTTTATTATTCAGGAAGGGTTGCTACAACCAGCAGCAGTTAAACTGGCTGTAGTAGCTGCTTCATGGTTGATGTGGCAAAAGAAATGGCTTATCAAAATGCTTCCATTCATAAGGGTAATGTAATATTTGTGTCACAGTGTTTGATTTTTCTTGGCAGAAGCGCAAGTGGCATGACATATACTGTAAGCTAACAGTGCAAAGCTTCACATGCACACACACTCAGACCCAAAGAGGCCTGTTCAACCCTGCTGACTCATCATTTAGGTATGGCAAGTCGCCACTGGTACACCACTGTTACTACCTCCACACTGTTTTACACTGTTTATTTTACACTCCAGGACATAGTGATGAACACAAAGGAAAGAGTGTTAACAGAGACTGCACTGTCAATTTTTGGAGCTGGCAAGAATAAACAAACAAAGGGCTCCAAGAGGATGTTGAGCAACCGTAGCACCTGACTTCCTGTCTGTGGACCATGATCTTTAGAAAAGGGAGACTAACACTAACACACACCACATGTACAAACACCCTGTCATTCCTGACTCCATACCAATGCTGAAAAAAAAAGTAGAACGGATGCAGGCCACACCCCACCCCATTCATCTCCAGTCCTTATCTGACCCTTCTTCAGTGTCTGCATTTGAAAAAGATTGATGTAATATTGTGCCATTGAGGGTTTAAACTAAAACTTTAAAGTACTGGGCAGGGACATACTGTAGAGGACACAGGTTGATGAGATCATCTGTTTTTTTTCTCAGCTATCGTTCTGCTGTTGAGCAATGTTTGTTGTTCAAATAAGTAGAAAGGAAGTAGGATAGCAGGTCCTCAAAAGCAGCTATGGTGGGAACTCCCACTCAAGATAAACATGAATCACAGTACACGTGGGTGACATGTTTTCATGAACGGTGTTAAAGCAGTCGGGGATTTAGAAGTAGCAGTCATTAAAGGCTATGAGCTGCGTGAAGAAGTGACTAAGCCTGAGCCTCTCTTCCTCTGAACTCTTCACTTGTTTTGTTTATAAATCACTGACACAGCTATTTGTAACAGGATTAAATTGTTGTTCACAGCTGTTGTTTTTGAGTGTACAGAATATGTTTTTCATGTTACTTTTTACTCTTGTTTATTTAAGTAAAATCTGGCATGTTGTACACATACTGAATCAGATGTTAAACAGCTGATTTAGTGGTTAGGGTTCTTATAGGAGGTGTAAAATGTGTTCATATCAAGGTGTTAAATGATTCTGTTTTGTGCTATAAAACAACTGTGTGTGGTTTGTGTGTTTGGTGGGAGGGATATGCAAGAGCTCGTACCTTACATGATGTGGTTAGGTCGTTTCCACTGTAAACTCAGCCATGAGTGACAACACCTCTTCCTCCTTCACAGTTGACAAATACAATGCTTTTCTTTCATTCTTCCAATCCAAAATTGACACCATTTACAGCAGCTTCAACACTCTCACTGTCCCCTCATCACCCAACCTCTGTCTCAGTTCTCCCCTGTGTCCCCAAAAGAGCTATCCATCATCACCTCTAGCATGAAGTCCTCCACCAGGATTCTCAACCCCAGTCTCGTCAAAAACTGTCTCCCAGCCATCGCACCACACCTCTGCTCTGGTTCAGTAACCAAAACACTCAAAGTGGAAACCTGGAGACATAACAGATAGCATGTGCAACTTCCGCCCCATCTCCAACCTCCCCTTCCTGTCAAAAATACTGGAACGTGTTGTCGCCTCCCAGATCAAATCCCACCTCTCCTCCAATAACCTGTTTGAACCATTCCAGTCCGACTTCCGTTCCCAGCACAGCACAGAAACAGCTCTCCTCAAAGTCACCAACGACCTCCTCCTCTCCTCAGACTCTGGCCTCCTAAACACCCTCATCCTCCTCGACCTCACTGCAGCCTTTGACACCATCAGCCACAATATTCTTCTATCCGCTTAGAACACTCACTCAACATCACTGGCACTGCTCTTTCCTGGTTAACATCCTACCTCACCGACAGACAACAGTTTATCAACATCAATATGTGCATCCATGTTTTTATTTCATTGAGGCAGTTTTTCAGGGTAGAGCGGTACTGAGGTACTGCAAGCCCAGACAAACAGACTTAACTTATTAAGAATGAGTCTGTGAAGAGTAAAAGGTTGTTTATTTGCTGTGGGTTGACGATATTTGGTACATCATGGTGCTACAAATGAATCAATATTCTTTTTGGGAAAGTGATATGTTGTTTTATTACTTTTATATGTTATATGTTTCTGTTCACAAAGGAATTGACTCTATAGGCGTAAAGCTGACACCTTCTTCTTCTACTGCAGCTGAATCTGTGAATGATTCTGACTTTTTACAGAATGAAGGATTCAATAACAGAGATGTTTATGAGTTGTTAATTACATCACAGACGTATCTAAATACATTTGAAACAAATGCTGTCAGAAGAGATGATAGATGCCACATGATCACAGAGATAAACATGTGAGTTTGTGAGATTCCCCACCACATGTGTAACTGTGCTTGTCATGGTTCGGTGTGTAAAACAAGGGAGTAGGACCCAAGTGCAGAAGAACTAAAAATGTTTATTTTAAACAAAAAGTAAAAAAACAAGACTTACTGCTC